CTTTAGAAGTCGATACTTTTGCGAGCTTAGGATTAACGGGGTCTTACTTTTTAACGACGATAATGCACCTGCTCACTTGTCATTGCTTGTTCGTCATTTTTTGACCAGAAACAACTCGTTAATCATGCCTCAACCGTCGTATTCACCAGATTTGCCCCCCTGCGACTTTTTCCTGTTCCCAAGATTGACGGCGTTTAGCGACGATTGAGGAGATAGAAACTGAATCGCTGAGAGAGCTCAGACATAGCAAATCTCGAGGATTGAAAAAAACGGTATAAATGAATATTTTTGGAAAAAATGAAAATTCGCCGTATTTTTTTAATAGACAGCGCGTAAAATATAACCACGTATGAAATATATTTTGTTTCAGATCAGCAGAAAACCTTCCATTTGTCGATATAGTCGATATATAGATCGACTTATCGAAATCATTTCATACAGTAGCTCATATAAAAAGCATTGAATGTCTTCTGTGGTGTGTCTTGTTCATAAATAAATGTTTTATAAGAGAAAACTTTTTTCCTATATCATTTTTCTACCATAAATCTCAATCATAGCAAGTTTACATTTAATAGTTATCTCTGTAACATTTTATCGTACAGAGCACTCCAAATCTCATAATGAACAGATATTCTAAATCTAAACTAATGAAGAAATATTCTCATATACCCTCCTCAAAACAATTTAATTTCTGAAGTATATTTTAGACACTCTACACAGAAAAATTATATAAATTGTCCTTGTTCAATGACACACTTGATATTTGTGATTACCATTTGTGAAGTGTGAACTTAAAAGTACAGAAAGTACCCAAAAATGGCATATCAATTTCCAATAACCAAGTTTATCTGAAGAAAAATTGAAAAAGTCGTTGTAGAGCGTTTGCATTCAGAGAGACGACAATTGGAGATTTCATAGTAAAATTTCAAAATATTTTTGTTATACAATTTCAAACTTACTTTTTGGAATAAGTTGTTTTCTTTACTCCACCATAAACGAAAAACTCTATTGCTTCATAAGTGTTGCACTGGATAGAGTATAAATAACTCGTTTTCAAGTTAATTGCATTATTGGTTGCCTATACTTTGATGGAGTAACTTGCATCCCGACACTGTTCTATAATTTGTATTATAGCAACATTCTCCTTTTCCCAGGCAAATTTATAATTTTCTTGAAATCACGTTCAAGCGCTCATCTACTCAGATCAAGTGCCAAAAAAGGTATTACCACTATCAAATAGATTTATTCACAATTGAAGATTGATCATTCTCGAAAAAACCTGGATTTTGGTAAAATTTCATACTGGACAAACATTAATAGAAATTGATTCAGATATACACCCCCTTGTCCCCCTCTTGGGTGCGCCCGTGCTGTAACTGCTTTCAGGTACATACATCCAGAGATAATCGAGAAAAAATAAAAACTCCAATATATCTTTTTGTAGTTTCCTTTGGGCAGTCATATTTCCAAAATCTAGATCAACACGTGCTAAGAGGGCACGTGTTTCCTTCTACTGATGATGCTAACTGGGTTAGCGAAACTCGCATCGAAAGAAAGAATTTCTGATCTTGTGAGGAGAAAGTGTTCTCAATAAATCCAAAAACAGTATTTTAATAAATAAGAACTAATATTATTGTTTGTATAAATATAAAAATTCATTCATTAAAACCAAATACTAAGACAATCACTATATCGGAATGAATTCAACAATCACATTTTATGTATAAATTTTGTGAATTATCACAATCAATGATTCCACAGGAAAAATATTGTAAATAGACACAGTCCGATCTTCATCAAAATAGATGTGCTCTGATTTCGAGAAGCCTCACCTGAAAAAAATATGAAAATTATTATGGATACACTGTCCCGTTATTCGATGAAAATCAATGACACAGTCCATGATGATAATTATACAATTTTCATAATGAATTTTATTCAAGAAGCGTTTCACAGCACGATAGTTTCACCAATACAACTAATGGAACTGCCTTGTAGTAAAACGCATCTTGAATAAAATTTATAGCCAGAAAATTGTATAATTCTCATCATGGATAATAGAATCAAACAAAAAATTATTGTTTGTTGATGAATCTACAGAATTAATTGAACCGTTTTTGCCTCTTTTCAGCTTATTTCTATAGGAATTATTTGGCAATAAAGCGGTATTGAAAGCACTGTTCGATGTTGGTTTGCGAAATTTCGTTCCGGAGATGTTAGCTTCGAAGATGAAGACTGACCCATCCCAAAACGGGGCCGGTGCTGGAAATGGCGGAAGAACTGGGTGTCAGCGCCCATGCGGTTTTTGATGGCTCAAAACGTATTGGGAAAATCAATAGCCTGGAAAAGTGGGTGCCCCACGATTTGAACGATCGACAGAACTTGTCACGTTTTGAGGTATGTTCTTCTTTGCTTTTGAGCAATCAAAACGATCTTTTTTGGATTTAATCGTCACGTGTGATGAAAAGTAAATTCTCTACGGCATCAGGAGTCGTTAGGGACAGTGGTTGGATAATGATGAGCCTCCCAGTCACTTCCCAAAGGCACCTAAAACCTGATTTGATACCCAGCGGAGTAGACGCAAAGGCCGGTAAGAAGGCCTGTTAGACATCGTGTTCATCCCTACTATAGTCCAACAACTATTTGGTATCATGATTCGAAGGGTGAATAAACGCCTTGAAGTTGCCTTAGATTCAGCCGTGCAGCGCTTTTCCGCTTCAGGTTTTGGTGAAACCTCACTTGAGAGCAACCGTTTGCCAACTTGCTCATAGGGGGCTAGTTCCCCCAACTGAGACAGATTCTGCATACGCCGCAGCTCTAGCTCATGAACTGAATTTACAAGGAGGCCAGTTGGAGTCGTTAACTCGACATCCATATTCTCTGTAGACTCGCTCCTAAACTGAATTTACAGGGAGGATTGATGGGGTACCTTGTTATTGTTATGAAAGTTATTTTGGTGAAATTTCGAGACCTTTGAGAGTGCTCGAGAATAAATCTCAAAATAAAAATTGTCAGAACACATTTTGAACATCGATGAACATCTAGTTTAATGGAACAGAAGACGTAAACTCAAAGAATCAGCGTGTATTCTTATATCTGGAGAAGAGTGTATTTTGAACAGCTCCTTAAAAATGGATCGTACTTGGCTACCCGTTGCGAAGAAAAATATGAATAGTGGCGAAATATCAGAGAACACCTTGTACTACATCGAATGTTCCAGATGCCGATTAATAACATTGACAGATTTTACATTTCGAATCAGTGAAGATTTTTTCAATTCTAAAGGCGGGATAGGTTTTAACTTCCGAAACGTCAAGATTAGAATCTGTGTTATTATCTCAACTTTTTTGATAGCAAAATTTATATTATGCGACTAATGACCAATAAATGAAACATGTATTTTTGTGAGTGTGTGAAAATATTTTGAATTCTAGAAATAACTCATTGAGATGAACTAAAAAGTTTGCCCCTTCTGTAGGTGAATAAAGTTCTCTATTACAATTTTCACGTTTCAGACTGACAACATTTAAGACTGTGGAAGGTGAAAATACCTATAAAAAGGTCGATGAAAAACTAATTTCCTCCACAAAAGATAACATTATTGATTCGAATTGAACCTACCAACATTACCATTCAACTTACTTATACAATATCCCTTAATTTCTTGGAAAAACGGTTTGCACTTGCAAACTCCTAAAACGCATTCCAGCCTACTGAGTCCTGGATTAGGTCCATGACAATCGCTATGGTTCACGCATATATCTCCAAGTACTGGGAAGAAGTAACAAATATAATCCAAACAAACAACAATCGATAACTAGTAAATACTTACCCATATCTCTCACACATTTCTTAGTTGAATTCTTGACTTGATATAAATCTTTGCACTGGCAAAATGCATCAGCACATTCGGAAGATTCGCCCATTGTTGCTGTGCACTGGACGTTGTCCACGCATGGAGCATGCTCTCCGTCAACTACAGGAAGACATCTGGAGCCTCTGGTACTTGCAACGAATCCGTCGATGCACGAACAGGTTGAGTTGATACATTTGGAAAAATGTGTTGCCGAACACTCTGCATCGCTTCCACAGTTCTGACCAAGTTCTGAAATCAAAATTATTGTATTTTGATCAATTAGTAATAAACTACTGCTGTTTTTGAGATTAAGGCATTTGGACCGAAGCATTTGGGCGCAATTTGCTCTAATGTAGTTCACAGTCTGTCTTATAATCGAGAATAGCTTGCCAACAACAGATCTAGATCCTTCTGGTCGGTAGCTAAAGCTGCTAATCAAAACTTTGCCACCACTAACACAAGCAGAAGGTTCAATTGCAACAACAGCCATAGAAAAAGCAAATCTACAATCTCAACAATTCGCGTCCCACTCCACAGTCGATTTACTAGGAAAGGTACCACCCACTATTTCCACAGTAGAATCCACAATGCCGGAAATTACTTTTCGACATCTTCTAATCAGGCGACATTTGAAACAGCTAACAAGGCATCTGGTCCTGATGAAGTGCCCGTCATGGTACTTAAAAATTGTGCCAATGAACTCGCATCAGTGTTTTGGGGTTTTCTTCCTTGTTGGAAGATTGCTTGCGTTCAGCCTATACCCAAAAAAGGCAACAAAAATCTTTCAAATAACTATGGACCAGTCGATTTGCTATCATGGACAAAGCCAATAATCACATATCCTCAAATACACACATCGGAAAAGTCTAGGGATATTTTTAAAAATGGCAATAATTTTTTTTACATCGCTTTAGGGAAAAAAAGTTGACGGGTGATTATTAAACGAATTTAACTTACAACAAAATTTATTAAATG